ATGTCCCTAGCATCAACACACATAGCAAAAAAAAATCGTGATTTCTTTCAATAAGTTAATTAAATAATTAACAACTTTCAAAAACAAGTTTTATTGCCCTTATTTGCTGCAGGAAGCCGAGTCAGATGGCAATATAAAAATCACAATTAAAATTTCAACATTGTGATGTGAATAAACAACCAGCCATCGACTCAAGCTTCAATCTACATACAAAAAGTGACAAAAAAATATTTCAAATTAATTCAGAATCAAAATTCATACAGCGAGAAAAAAATAATGGGAGGTGCGAAGCTAAAGTCTTTAACAAAAAAAAAAAAAAATCTTAACACACGACAGAAAAATTAAAATTTTTTTTTTTGTACATACATCAAATAAACGTCCAAGTCCAAAAGTTAAATAATAATAATAATATTGAAAGCCGGGAATGTATTTTGTTCGGTGTTAATAAAAAAATATTCAAATTTAAAACTTACAAAAAAAAATATTAAAATAAATATATATCTTTTGTATTATCCCGTACAAGCATCAGCAAAAAAAAAAATGAACAACGAGTCAAAAAACGACGTAAAAAATGTTTTAAATCCAACAGCGCAAGCACAAATAATCATCAAATTCCAAAATATTAAGCACTTTTTTGCCGAAACTAGATTTAAATTTATATATTTTTTTTCTATCTAAATATTACCAATTGTAGATCAATTGTAGAGCATTAAGGAGGAACATGAAAAATAGAACAGAGATGGGTTTAGGCGTTATTTAAGCAGAGTAAGGGGCTCGTTCATAAATGATGTATCACTTTATATTAGGATTGTTGTGTGACACTATAGTCTTAAGTAAAAAAAATAAAGCTAGGAGACTAGTCTAAAAATCCCGTTAATGGATAGACCTCACTTATGAACGGCCCCATAATTGCTCATTAATGAACAAAAAAACTGTGATGAAATAAAATTTTGTAGCTTTAATTCACGAAAAATGTAAGTTCCTCTCCCTTGATATCAGCCATTCAATATTTGGAGAAGGAATTTAAGCCCAAAGAATGAATGACTTTGTATAAAAAAGATTCTTAGTGAGGCTCTTCAGCCCTCCTTAACAAAATATCACGAAATCAATCTCTTTAAAAAATTATTATTGTATCTACTTAACAGCAAGATAGAATTCTTTTATATACTATTTTTTTCGTTGTTTCTTTTGCTGATGATCATGCAAAGTACTTTTTTGGAGAAAACATAGAAGAAGAGAATGGGAATCAGTGGAATAGTCATTGATTGAAAATTGTGGATATTTGGTGGATATTACGCATTATTCTGCAAAATTAGATGCTGATTAATGGAATAAGAAGCTTAATTATAAACACAAAAATGAAGGAGGTTCGTAGCCACTGGATTTTAGCATCTAAGATTATGAATTCAAAAATATCAAACTTTTGAAATTCAAATTTTAACTGACAAATTAATTTTATTCAAATCTCTAAAGTCCGTTCCAAGCGAAATCCACATTTAAAGAGTCGATTACCCATGAAACTTAATCAAAGCCAGTTAATTAACTTCCCAGCCACCCAAAACAACAATCAATAATCCAAAAAAATTGAAAATTCGCACGAAACAAGAAAGCTAAGAATTGAAAGAAATCATATTTGTTGCTGAATGAATTAAATTAAAGTCAATTTGAATTAACGCTCAATCATATTTAGCGAAAGATCACGAGTAGTACTACCGTGACAGGCACTCTTGTTATTGACTTTCATCTATTTAATTTTCAAATATATTTTCAGGTATTTTTTCAACCAAAAAAAAATTATAATATTTTAAGACTCAAATGAGATGTGATGTGTGTGTATAGGTACAAAAAATGTACAAAAAAAAATTAAATAAAATAAAATAAGAAATAATCAATCAAAAAAACCTCTTTTCCTTCATTCCAAAAATTATTTTTTTCCCTCTGTTTCTGATTAACATTGAAATGTTGTTTTGTTGAACACCAAAAAAAATTTATTTCAATCTTTAAGTCGTCAAATGAAATATCGTTATTAATTTTGTGTTATTCGTAAAAGAAGAAAAAAATAAAATAAAATAAAATGTATAACAACTTTTTTTTGTTCATATTCAGGCATCAAAAGACTCTCGTTCAGTCATTTTTTTCATATTCATGTATTTATTATATCTCCTTAAATTCCACGCACGGGTCTCTTGAATATTTTTTTTTGTTTGATTGAACATGAGAAATTAATAATAATAATAATTTTTCTCTCTCCTCAAATTCTTGATTATTTGTAAGGTGAGCAGCCGAAAAATAAATTTGATGAATTTTAAAAAAATTGCTAAGAGACTGGATGATTGAATATAATTTTTTGTTATTTATGAAATCATCTTAATATTCGGTTTAAACAGCTAATGAAGTTTATGATGCGAAAATCCATCTAAAGAATTATTTGAAGCTGAAGTTTGAATCTTTGAAGCTGAATTTTGAATTTTTGAATCAAATTTTCGCATCTTTGAAGCTAAAGTTTGCATCTTTGAAGCTAAAGTTTGCATCTTTGAAGCTCAAGTTTGCAACTTTGAAGCTGAAGTTTCCTTTTTTATAGGAATAGTTTCACATATTTATAGCAAGATTATCACATTTGGGAAGCAAAATTTTTGTTTCTTTGAACATAAAATCCAAAATTAATCCACAAAAAAAAAATCATCTCATTCGACATGATCCACGAATCTCAACTTCTAGTCCAATTATTAATTCAAACGTAAAAAAATTTATTCATCAATTCAACGCAAACATCCAGCACAAAAATTCTTTTGAGCCCTTTTGAGGAAGACAAGACACAAGATTCCAGTGAACGTCACGCTTCCATCGATAATAAATGAAATCAAATTGACGGCATGACAGTTGACTCTTTAATTAAGAGTTTATATTCATCTCTTTTTTATTAGCTCATTTTTGCCTCCCCAAAAAAACTCTTTTTTATTGTTTTTCTTGTTTTTGTGATGTCAAAAAAAAAAAAATAAAATCAACTCTCGACTTTGCGGATTTCTTTTATGAATGCTCTTCAGCATATCCAAAAAAGACCACATATTCGTATTTGACGAGCTGAAAAAAAAAGTCCAAAAAGAATTTATAATGGAGGACAACAGAAATGTGAGCAGCGCAAAAATTTATTATTAATGTTGTAGTGTAGATTTAGACACCAAAATTTATCTCGAGCTGTTGGCTGAGACTATTATAATATTAGACATCTTATTTAATAATAATAACGAGTTTTTCTTTGCCTTAACGACACAACACACAACAAAAAACGTCGTCGTTGATTCTTTTTATTCAAAACTCCTTTTTCTTTTCTGTTTGAAGAAAATTAATTTATTTGTCATATTTTTTTGAGGTATGGACAACAATGGCACATGGGTACAAATTATGTAAATGTGGTGAGCTAGCTTAAAGAAGCGCAGGGAAAAGAATTCTTAAGAAGTTGAAATTTAAGAATTTAACGGTAAAAAAAATATTTGAAAAATAACAGTCAAAAAATATTTGAAAATTTACATTCAAAACATATTTGAAAATTAGCGGTTAAAAAATAATTGAAAATTAAATGCAATATACAGACAGACAAACAGACAGACCGACACCTAGACAATACACAATCAATAGTATCTTTACCAATAATAAATTTGCACCAAAAAAATTATTTAAAATATAAGGTAGATGAACAAAGATGATTTACATGCCCCAGATGACATAAAAGCACCTAAAATATTTTGTCCAAAAATTAAATTCCTACGTCAATTTCGACCATGAGACTCATTATATCCTAAATGTGTTGCAAATCTTCACAAAAAAATCACTCAAAACTAAAATTAATCATCATTAGATTCAATAAAATGGAATCTGAATGTCAGAGATGAAAATCACGAGTTTTCAGGCATTCCGTACCTGAATGTAATTGTTTAAAAATATTTTGTTCGTAAAAAATTATTATATGGTACGTAAAAGATACAAAAATGGACATAAATTAGTGTTTACAACTTAAACAAATCAAAAGATATTTTAGTGCTCACTTAATTTATTTAATGGAATAACTTGTTTGAGTTTGAGCATTTGTGTTGGATTCCCAGTTGTGTTACATAAGGAGATTTATATCGGCGACCTTAGATGTCAAGATATATATATTTGCCAAAAAAATTAGCGTAGAATTAAATAAGAATTGGAGGATTAAAAGCTACTTAACGCATGTGTTTAATCGATTCCATATTTCAATTTTATTTACAGTCAATTTAAAGTTTTTTTTAAGTTTCATAAAATTCAGGTTGATATGTCCATTAAACGGCTTAAGATGCTGGATTATCGGCCATATGCAGTGTGTAGAAAATTCTTGGACTTAAAATTACTTATTTTGGATTATTTTTTTATAATGTGGAAAATTAAGAAACATTGCAGCAATTATTCATTTTGGATTATTAATGTATAGTCTTTTGGGTATGTTCTGAGTTGCTTGTTGCTGTTGTTTCATAAGAAACTTGCAGGATTAATTGGATTCTGTCTGAATTTTGACTATGATTTGTTTTTTTCAATTGAAAATTTTAACTGACTTTTTGAATTTAAATGTATTGGTTTTTTGTCAAAAATTTCAAACTCAACATTTTTAAAGACCGTAAATTCAAATAAATTCCTCGAGTTCAAAATTCAAATTGTTTTTAACCGTTAAACATTTAAAATGCACAAACTTCACCACTTCCTCAAATAACTCAAATTAATTCGAAAATCCGATCATCAATTCCAATAAAACTTCAATTCCACGTCATAAAATGTAAAAATTTAAAACCAATAAGTCTCTCATTTTATGTCCACAATATCAATATCAGTTTTGCATAAAAAGAAATCATTTGGAACACAATTTACAATATTTAATTAAAGTTGAAAAAAATAAATTCAATTCTTATTCATTTTCTTTCGTTTTTTTTTGCAGGATGAAAAGTAAATGTGACAATAAAGCCAAAGTAATCAATTCTACCTACCGCAATGATCGATCATTCATTCATGGTGAAAAATCATCTCGCGAACTCGTGGGTCTTGGGAAATGGTGTGTCTGAAGTCTGTAAAAATAAGTGCAAAAGAAAGAGGTGAAAAAAAGTTTTTTATTTTAAAAAAATGCATGAATTTCAAATGCAATTTAAGGTGAAACAAAAACGAATCAGTTTTCTGTTATTCCTTTTCATCGCGCTATGGCAGTAACACTTAAGTCAAATGGAATATGCAATAAGGTTTAAATGAATGGCAAGCGTCAGCATAAAATAAGGCATAGAAAAATAAAAAAAAATTCTTCATCTCATTTTATGACTGGTCATGCTTGACTGATTAGAGCGCATTTAGACTGTCCAGAGGCACTGCACCTGATATCAACTCTTCCCTCATCTAATTACCATAGACATCTATATTCTAAGTTTAAATCAAGATAATAATCAACGTTACATAAATTTTACGTACGCAATTTTACGTAACTCACTTCAAAAAGTTTTTTGCCTAGTTCTCGTAGAGGAAGCAACCAATCTCAAAGATCTTTGGCCATTCTTTTATCCGAGATGGCACACAACGTTTTATCAAAAATCCCTATCAATAAACCTTAAATTAAAGGTCCAATCAAGCGACAAACAAAATATTGGACAGACAGACATATATCAGACTTCATCTCCATATCCCTTTATAAAAATGATCTTAAAAAATTCTCATATTGTACAGATCTTGCATGCAAGAAGTCAGAATAACAGTAACGGCGGTAGTTAGAGTGTCATTTAATGACCAAAGTTCGATATATGATTTGTGGCATACGATAAACGCTAAAGAGCATTTAAAATGCAATTAAAATAGCATGAAGGGAAAGGTTTTAGAGCTCGCGAGTCAGTCACAAAATATTTATGATGACAATTTCTTTCATCAATCATCAAATGAGATTTTTTTATTATTATAACATCGTCATCATTAAGCAGCAATCAACCTTTTGTCGATGCAAGTACGTACAATGGCTGTAGTAATGCGAAATTTATACTTATACTCAATATTTTTACAAGATAGTGAGACAAAAGTACTTTTCTCGCTGTACTCGAAGGAGATGAGAGAAAGAGACCCAAGAAATAACTGAATTGAGGAAAATTAATCGATTCATAAACAATTTTGATATTTAATTAAAATTATATTATAAAGATACAAGTTGTAGAAGATTTAGCTTATTTATAAATCGATTAAATTTTTTTCTCATTCTCTTCTTCTTCTTGTTGTCGGTCGATCGATTTTTTTCTTCATTTTCTGCTTATCTGCGACGATAATTTCCTTTAATTTCGATTCAGTTAACTATACAATCAAGGATTACATGAAGTGCACTTTTTCCTTTTTGGTTGTTGTTAATAATTGATCGGTTTGACTGGATGTAAAAATTTTTTGATTTTCAGGGGTGTGAAACTATGAATTTTAAATTTTTTCATAGTTTGACACCCCTGATTTTTAATATTTGAAGTTATCATAGTTTGACACCCTTAATTTTTGAAAGTTTAAAAATTGTCATTGTTTGACACCCCTTATTTTCAAAAAATGCGCTAAATGGATCTTTAAAACACAATGCAGCACCAAACTCACTTACAAGCTTTTTTGTGTACCCCATTCCCCGATGAGAGAAAACAAATTAAATTGTATTTTACATTTTTTCACAATTTATTTTTTGCATCCAATATAAAATGCAATTTTTCTTTCTGTTTCTTTCTTATGCCATCAATTTTTCTACATTTATATACATTAACCACTGTGTATCAGCAAGTAAGTAAGTAAGTATATATTCATTGGCAATGGCCCTCACATCTCGATTATTTAGTAGTAAAAAAAAGTATGAAAGAAAAGGTAACATCAGCAATCGTCTATTGAAGAGATCAAAGTACCAGTTATGCCGCGCTATTAAAAAAAATCTCCAATAGAATCGACAGAGAATTACTTAGTAAATAAGTAGATGATGACTATGACTTTATGCTTTTCAATACTTTATTAACGGATGGATGTGGCGAAAAAAAAAGTATGAAGCTAGTGGAAAGAGAATTGCCATGTTATATAATTAGAATGCATTAATTGACCACTTTATCTTATATAATCATCAAGATAATGTGACAATATGAACAAATAATTTCAATAACGAGGAAAAATATTTTTTGCTTTGCCTCTTCTTTTTACTTCTCCTGGGACTTTCTACTTTTAGCATGTTTTTATGAAGGTTTTGGATGACAGGTCAATATGAGCTACTGTACTTTTTTGAGGTTAAGCTAATGGGCACTAAGTGGAGAATTGTGTATATTGTAGAAAAGATAAGAAGAATTAAGTTGATTGATTGGTGCTGTTTCCTTTAGGATGATTTATGTTTGATCTAGTTTCAAATTGCTTAAAATTGTGTTAAAATTGAAATAATAACCTTTAAAAGATTCAAATTTTTGAAAGCCGTTAAATTTTCAATTTTTAAAAAGCCGTTAAATTTTTATATTTTAAAAAGTCTTTAATTTTTTCAAATTTCTGATAGTCTTTGAGTTTCAAAATTTTTGAAAGTCGTTAAGTTTTCAAATTTTGAAAACCGTCAAGTTTTTCAAATTTTTGAAATCCGTTGAGTCAAAAAAATAGTTCCAAATCTATAAAGAATCATTAAGACCTTCCAACAGTGACTCTCCAACTTGCACCAACAGCATAAAAATAAATTCGAAACAGAGAAAATGAAAATTTATTGATATTAATTTTAATTTCAATTTAATTATATTATAAATTTAAACTTTTACATCATTCCGGCGGTTCACTATACAAGCTACACAAACATACATGTATGAAAGTATAAATCGATTTTGATAAAAATCTATGTTTACAATTAAAATTGCAAAAGGAATATAAATTTTTCAGTCGATACGGATTGAGATAGACTCTTTTTTTTGTGTGCCAAACGCGCGCACAAAGCGCGGCAAAGAAGAAGAGAATGAAGACGAAGAGAATTGCAATATAATGTACATAATATTGTTTTCTGTGACATTTTGAGACGGCTACAAGATCATTCTTTGGAGGTTCTTTTTATGTTTTTTTTATTTCGTTGTTTTGTTCCTCTATGTGTATTTACTCATGTTCTTTATGCCTTTATATCTTTTTTTTTTCGTTACGCCGAAACATGCTCGTTAAATGAGTCAAAGTGGAATGAATGAGTGACAGAATTTAGAATGCGTTCTCATGTGGCGTTTCGTTCGGAAGCTACTTAATTTATTGGAATTAGGAATGAGGGAAATTTATGGACGATTAGTGTGAGTTATCAGGTGTTTGGCTTCTTGGCTTCTGTATTTGTTGTTGACATAATCGTGAGTAATTTGGAGAAAAAAAATTGTCTTAATGATTGTGGAAGCGTGCTTCCTTATAGCGAGTCTACATGAGTTTTATTAGTAGCAAGTTGTGAACAATTAGTTGGTTGGTGGTAATGAAGAGGTAAGTTGATGAAATGAGTTGATTATTTGAGGTTTTATGGCCGTTATTTTTCTGTGAATTAAGAATTCCTTGAATATTTGGAAATTTTTAACGGTTTTTTGAAATTCAAATAACTTTATACAGTTGGTTTTAGTTTAATTTGAATTTATATTGACTGTTGTGAGGTTTTAGGATTTTACTTTGTGTCAGTTTGAATTACAAATTACGGTTATCCAAATTTGAATCAGGTTTGGAAGAATTTGAAATAATTTTGATCGTTAAATTTTATAAAGTTTATAATTCACTGAAACCAGATTTAAATATCTTTAAAACTTACTTTTTCGATGCTCAGACAATCTAATAAAATACAAGTGAGTTGAAGTTATGTTTGCACTTTCACAAAACACCAAAAATTCTCCACAAAACCAATTAAAAACAAACTTTTTCAACAAAATAATTAAAATTCTCACTAAAATCACCTTACACTGCCCAATAAATTAGATTAACTAGTCAAGAATGCACAAAAAAGTAAAAATGTCACTAGTAAATTTTTTTTGCCACCCGAGAAATCGCCGATAAATTATTTAGTTGAGTTTGAAAAGACCATCAAATTTAAAAATAAAATTATTCACTATATTTTTGTTGCGAGAGTTTGTATTGTACAATAAAATTAAAACTATTTTTACAGACGCCAATCGAAAGTCATTGTGTGATGAGAAATTGAATAAAATTATTTGGTCAGCTTTAGTGTGAGATTCGGAGGATCGAAATGGGAAATTTAAATTTAGCATTTTATGCTTTTATTCAGCATGGCTTTTATGTAAAAATGCAGGCTTATCAATCTGGCTAATTAAGTGCACTTTAAGCTTCAATTTACGAGAATCTCTCGAGCTCTGTTTTTTGATTCCCTTTTCATTTAATTTAAATGCATTTGCCAAAAGAAAGTTTTTTTTTGTTGCACTCGGTAAGCACGAGAAAGATTTTTTTTTGTACAGCAAAAAAGCATTCAAGGAAAAATTGAATCAATATATTTTGATTTTAAAGGGGTTGGTTGGAAATGATGTCTATTTATTTTGATTTGGATTGGGTCTAGTCTCATGTGGTTATGTTAAAAAATTGAATTTGAATGAACTTTTGAGTTGGTAGGTCTACGGTATCTTGTAGCGTAGTATGAAAGAGGATTATTAGGGAGAGGAGTGCAGCAGGGAGCGTCGTCAAAGAAAATTTAAGAAATTTTGTTAAAAAGGGTTCAAATCCTTTAAGATAAAGCTCAAAACCAACCTCATTTCAAGCTCACCTAATGTTATACACACCCTACACCTAACCCTCAATATTGTATAGAGTTTATACGGGCAGGAGGTAGCAGTAGGTATTGGTCTTAGTAAAAAAGTACCTAGATACCGAGAAAACAACCCTAAAGCCCATAAAAACCTTTAAATTTGCTCTCAAAAACCCTACAATTCTCAATTCACATGACTTACAATTAGCCCATCCCCTCCCTAATCGTATATTGTGGCTATTTACTTATTTTCTCAAAAAAAAGAAAAAAACAAAAGTTCCTTTTGACGGTGAAATCAATTCAAGTCATATTGATTAAAAATAAAAATTTGTCGTAAATTCTTGACTTGAT